CTGATCATTATAGTTATAATAATAATAATTATTATTATTAGGCATGTATTTGAAATAAAATAATGAACGAATGAGAATGCAAGCATATAGCACGGCATGATACGACGACAGACACATACTAACGTGCATGCCTACACATTTACAAGCAGAGAAACAGCATTCACACGTACATACAAACTACAAAAGCAATCACGAACACACACACAAACACATACACACTACAAACATGCAAACACAGACACATATACACAGATATCTAAGACGATAGAGTCAGTCGTATCCATTCATTATGCGCCTGCAGTGCAGTGAAAGGCATTTTCAGAGATGCACCATCTTGAGAGGCAGGATCTACTGGATCAGGGACGTTAATGAATTCCATTACCACGCACCAGTCAATGATACACACATGGATGGACAAACAGACAAACGAATCGATTACAGACAGACAATCTGATTGACTGCCAGACTGACAGAAAGCAAACACACACGCACAAACAAACGCAGATGGGAAGTGGACCGTTGGGCATTTATCCGTGCGGATATCCGCTGAGGAATATTATCTTGGCAGTTCCAAATAGACGGTATTGTGAATGCATGAGAATACACATGTACATTTCATAGGCGTCACTGAGGATATTCAAGCAAGCCGGTGAAATCGGTACGACTCATAGTGAAATATTGAAAGATAGCAACATATGTACTCAGACAAATAATGAGAAATGAAATTATCACTCATTGAAAATATTCACAATTCTGAGATTTGTATTAATGAGCACATAGTTCACCGCCAATCATCCTTCTCTCCAGGGTACGTGGAGCAAAGTAAACAGTGGGCTGAACACTTGCAAAAACTTCTAAATCGGCTGCTACCCACAAGGTGCCCGGTTATACGAACAGCGGAACCAGAAGTACCACTGAACATCAACCCTCCAAGGAAAACAGATGCCCTGAAGGCGATGAAATTACATAAAGCTGAGAATAGGGCAGGACCAGATGGAATCCTGGCGGAAGCATTGAGTATGGACCCAGAGACATCAGTGGACTTGATTGCACCACCACTGGAGAGGTGTGAAAAGAAGGCCAGGTACCTGCGGATTGTAGGAAAAGATATTTATTCAAAATGACAAAGAAAGGAGAATTAATTTGACGTAAGAACTTGGCGCGCGGTATTAGGCCTCTGTTTATCTGAAGCAAAATTTCTAGTCACATCACCTCGAAGAGAATCAAACACTCTGATCTGGATGGAAAACCTCAGCTAGATTATTGAGAAACACGTCATCCATTGATCAAATCGCAGCAATACGCAATGGCATTGAACGGAGCTCAGAATGGCAGTCAACTCTCTAGCTCAACTGGATCGAGATGTGATTTGGAAACTAATTCGCTAATACAGGATGCCGCCTACAATTCTACATCCGATCCAACAGTTTTTGCTTTAATTTCTGATTTTCACATTTTTTTTGATAACAGCTTGATTCCACACCGTATTTTGTTGGTAAAGGTATGGAATTTTCAGCATGGATATCGGTAGCCCAAATTTTGCAGGCTGAACATAAATATCAGGTGTGCATCGGCAGAGGATCAAACCACGGACTATGTGCATGGTGAGCGAGAGTCCAAACCACTGTGCTATCGACGAAAATTCTGCATAACAAGTAATCCACATTCAGAAACTCACAAAATCCTTGAAGGAAGTTAGGAGGGAAGTAACATATGGCTTGCTGGCTGGCTGCTTACCCATATAACTACCTACATTTTAATTCTCATTTCAACTGGATATCATTGAGGATATCATTGAATGCAAGCTACAAAGCACTGAACAGAGGAGCCAACTAAAGGTGTTCTGAACTGATGAGGATATCACTGAATCGAGGACTGCGGAAGCAGGGCTAGCTTACACTGATCTCAAGTCTGTGTGAACATCAACAGAATTCAACATGAAAATTGGCATCCAAACGTTCAAATACAATGATGATAGTTTTTCAGCCAGAACATTGTGTCGAGTTCAAAAGAGCAGTGTGAACTGCACTAGAATCCGTTAAGTACATTTTCTGCACCACCTCACTGATTCAGTTCACATACTGTACATGAGACGACTGACTTCATCCAAAATTCAACTGAATCCTTTGCGTCACACATTTGTTCCGTCTAAATGCACTTCACCACAGTCAGTTGTGTGCATTTCATTTCTGATTTATAACATCAGTGTGACGATCATTGCAGTCCAGTTATTCCCTGTTTGAGTTCTGGATAAATGCTTCTATTTGTGGTTATGCAATACGCTGATCATGTGCGGATTTGCTATGTGGACCTGGTTGAGTGATTCAGAGTGATTCTGATTTTGGACTGCCTGAGAATATCGCTGTTGAGTAAAGAAGTACTTGGAGAGATGAATGAAAATGAAGAACTCTCGCTGACTTCAGCGCCTTCAACAAACTAGTGGTTGGTTGCAGCATATGCAAGCACAGGAATATCCACATGGCTACAAAGGTGACAACAGACGGTCAAACCGAAAACCAAATTGACTTCATCTGTATACTGCTTCGAGTAAGAGGAAGCGCTGACTACTGGACACAACAGGAAGAAGAGAAGAAGACTTTGACTCACACCACTGTCCTTTGGGAAGAACACGCTCAATCAAATTGAATGCTTTCAAAGAAAGACAGTTGCAGGTAGACCACAAGCCGAATTAACATATCAAAAACTTAAGGATCAGGCCACAAAGGACATCTTCACTGCAAACATAAGGATAAAGGCGATACACAAACCAACACTAGCGAAGAGGTCAACGTTGAGCAGCACTGAGACAAGCTGAAACGTTGTGCAGTGAAACCCGAATTGAATTTCTAGGCAGATCGAAGGAACATGTCAAACACTGGCTCACTACCGACTAACGGGGACTAATAGAAGACAGAAGTATCGTGAAACCAAAGATTACTAATCCACGGTGTCGAGAGCAACAAAAACAGGAGTTGAATGCAAACTACAATGCACTGAACAGAAGAGCCAAATAAATATGGTCCGAAATGATGAGGATATCACTGAATCGAGGATTGTGGATGCAGGGGTAGCTTACACTGATCTCAAGTCTGTGTGGACATCAACAGAATTCAGCATGAAAATTGGCATCCAAACGTTCAAATACAATGTTCAGTCAGTGCTGCTCACTATACGAATCAGAGACTTGGCAATGTTCCGCGTCACGAAAGGCACTAGGACAAACTACACACTTTCATCAACAGCTGTCTCCTCTCAATACTTTGCTGAGATCAGATGGCCGGCCAGTGAAGTTCAGCAACAAGGGTCTCTAGGAGCGAACCATGCCAGCAGGGAACAATTCAAAATCCACATAAGAATATGGACGCAAAAATGAAGGTGGGTTACCTGGTCATACTCAAAGTACATTCTTAGTACAGTATTACATTTATGTTTGTATTTTTGAAACTACTTGGATTATAATACTAATAATAATATTAACAGCTTTATTCCAAACGGTATTTGTGGTATTTGTGGGATAATTAGGGCTCATGTTGACCACTCAACGCCTTCGCTATGTTTGACGTTATGAGATTAGTTTTATGAGTGTTCTGCCACTGATACGCAACATTATGTGGTACCTGATGTACACATCTGAAAGTAGAACCTAGATGTTCCGTTCACCTGATCGCATCAGTTCATTTCTCAAGGTGAAAGAATGAATGATGCAAGTGTGTTCCATCAGAAACCAGCGTGCTAGCTGTATAGTGATTGTAGGAGATTGTGGAGGCGCATGATAGTTTACAGAATGAAGCAATATTTGTGCTGTTTACGAAGATCAACTAATGCTATGGAATGCTTAGTAGAAGTGTGTCAGGTGAATAGAGATTAGTAAATATTATGAACACGCTGCAAATGAGGTGATTTTGGCGACGGGTAATTGTTTACAGAATGAAGAAATATTTGTGTTATTTGAGGTCAACATCACGCGTCGTGTGTCTTTTGATTATTTATCACTTTTATTAGTATTTATACATTAATGTGATCTAATTATAGCAATGATGAAAATGAAAAGTCTATTGCAAACAGTATTTTTAAAGAAATATCCAATTTCAGCGTGATCAGCTCTGAGAGGCAAGAGGAGCGATAGGAATTCAGATAGTGTGTAGAATCTATCGGTGACATCAGTGGGAGTTGCAGCTGAGTTTATTTGTTGAATTACCTCCACTCCCATACTGATCCACATCATGTGTTCCTGAAAAGAAAACCTGACTCAGTCAAAATTGAAGCGTCTTGTATAACTTCAGATGTGTGATGCACGATCGCAATATGTGTGAATGCCATTCTACGTGGAATATATTTTTGGAACTGGACGAATACACGTGAGTAATAACGATTTGCTTCAATCCCCATACTGGCTTTTCCTTCACAGATTATTTGGAAACTCGTCCAAGGATATCTTGATTTCTGACTTGCAAGTTTATCAACCTTCACGTTTCAATGCAATACATATTTTGTACTTGAAATATCTCTTTTCTATATAGCTGTCTCCTCATTCATCGTTATCGAAATGTTGTCTTTATGAGTAGCTGTTATTACTGACTCTCGTCTGGCCACTTACTCAACTACAAGCCACGTTGAAACTTATTTTACGTGCTCTTGGTCCATTTGTGTCTGTCGTATCCGTGAATAATCCTTCGAAAGAGATTGGCTGAGTTGTATTCCAGTTGAGGTTGGTTACGAGTTTATGTTTCCACGCGTCCGCTTGCCAACAGATACAATGTCATCTACCACAGAATTCATGTGTCTGAATAACATATCCGACAATTTGAGCCATGTTCCTCACTCTCAGAAGTATCTGATTCACACCCTTCTGAAGGGACTCAGTCCTATAACAGCCACCTTACAATTAGTTTCACATTACCACATTCACGAACACGACAGCCCACCACAAAATCTACCACCGCAAATTCAAATACTATCCACATCCAATAAAAGTTTGAATTCATGAAGAGAAAGTGGTGTAGCAGAAAAGTGATTTATTTAATTTAATTTAAAATGAAATATCTACGAAAGCTTCAACAATAGACATGCATTCAGTGGTACGCTGACTCCAACATTCATCCTGATTCTTCTCTTCAATTTCCTGTATGAGAATAAAATCAGTTAGCAATATTGCTGGCTACAAAATTGTAAGTGGTGAAGTAATCAAGAAACACGTATCCTGGAGAGAAGGATGATTGGTGGTGAACTATGTGCCTATTCATGCAATCTCAGAATAGTGAACATTTTCAGTGAGTGATAATTTCATTTCTCATTATTTGTCTGAGTACATATGTTGCTATCTTTCAATATTTCACCATGAGTCGTGCGGATTTCACTAGCTTGCTTCCATATTCTCATTGACGCCCAAAAAAATGTACATGTGTATTCTCACACATTCATGGTACCCTTTATTTAATACTGCCACGATATTAATCATCGGGCAATACCCGAACGGTAACTTACAACGTCACTGATGATGCTTTCCCATTCGATTAAACAGGCGTATTCAAGATTCCAGTTTCATCCATATACTCATTCACCTGTCTTTATGCTGTATGGTGGGAGAATAGTCGACGGCGAAAAATATTATTTAACGGTTGCAGTGTACACCCGAGTGATTGACGCTGTAAGTTGATGCAAAATATTTCTCACCTTTCAATATATTCAACTTGGTTGTGAAAAAATTCTTGTAAACTGGAAATGACAAAGACGAATTGAAGAAATTTGAATTGAGCAGTGAAAGGGATTGTTGTCTATCACTGCATTTGTATGATAACAAATATTCGATAGACTCTGAATATTAATTATACAGAGAAAATGAACTCACAAATTTCAGAGCTAAACAAGTAGTTGTAGTAAAATACTGATTCGATTTGCCATTTCAGTTGCTCCAGATCTGAAATAATTGATGAAAGAATAGATCTTCCAGTGTGGATTTCTCAGAATAAAATTACGAGATTTGAACATGAAATTAATTTACATCTAATGACGCCGAATAATCTGTTTCACGCACATTTTCAAGCAATTCACTACTTCACAAACTCATCCACTTGCATGATGTTATATTTGCATCATATCCAAACAGCACTCAGCAGGATATTATTTCAGTACTCATTAAATTTCACATTCACCATAGTATCTTTGATTGTGTGACTCTACTCATATTCACACCACCTGAATAATTTCATCTCCAGACGACTGACAACATCCTAGAGAACCATTAAATTTGTTCATCTGCTCCGTACATCAATTTTTGACTATTGAAAATCCTCATCAAAGACTATTGTACAGTACGAAGTGGATGTTCATGAATTCAAATCATGATGAAGTTATTGCGACAAGTGGAAATATACACTCATCGTAGGTGTATGCAATAATGTTATTCAGTTTATCAGGAATGTAAAAAGGGAAAAAACGCATACCTTCTTCTTTCGCTGGAGGTTGATTTTCAAAACATTTTTCCACAGGGAACTCCTTCATTTTTTCTATTTGTGGGTGAGTAATAGTAGGAAAACCGTTTCGTTAGGTGAAGACTGGAACTTCAAAAGTCGCTACTACTCACAAACAAAATAGTTGAGACCCATTTGCGTAATAAAAAGTTACTTACCCTCATATACTGTGGCTTCTTGAAGGTAACATGTTATCATATCATCATTTGAATCTTCCTCACTCTCTGAAAATAAATTAGTTTCGCACATATCAGTCAATCCATGTCTATTGTTTTCGTTATAATATGGATACACATTGATTCAGGTTGAATGCAGACACAATGACAATTAAGCGAATACAATTTGTTTACTAGTCGACAGATTGTCAACGAATATCCGAAAGGAGAATTGCAGCAGTCAAACATCTGCAGTCAATCACTTCTTCATGCCTTTCAGAGCATGAAGAGATCTTTCATGTTTATTTACCGTCAGTAAATAAAATGCAAAAATACATGAATTAAAAAATGATAGTTGAGGTGGTTACGCGTGATTATAAGCCAGGTGAAGATTGCTGGCCAGAATATTAACGAGAAATAGTTGCGATGGTAGATAAGAAAAGAAATGATTCAAAATATCCGGCTTACTGTCCAGAAGACGTTCTGAGATATCTAAGAAAGATAGAAAGGCATTGACATGTTTAGCAGCTCTGATCAATTTTTAGCTAACAGCTTTGTAAAGATTCGTCACGCTGTAGTCAAATAGACGTCTCCTATTGAAATGATCGGTAAGAGAGCATATCATCAACAGAGAGTGTATCAAGAATGTGACTTCTAACTCATCAAATGGAAGCACAGTGTATTGAATGCATTTCGAGAATAAAACTTAGAACGTACAGTCAAATGTGGTTTTTCCCCATTTGTATTTGTATGCAGTTTCCAGGCAGTTCATATCTAAAATAGATTGTCCATCATTTCAACTGATGCGGTTTGCTTACAATCTTCTATTTCTCCTCGTAAGCTTGCATCTTGACTGAGAATCTTGTCTGGGAAAATAAAAAGGCGAAAGCGTTGAAAGTTACAGCTTGTGCAGATGTGTATTTTAGTTATCTCACTATATGCTACGTACTAGATGACATGATTGATTTCATGATTAGTATAAATTTTGAAAGAACGATTCGAAGCATAATTTCGTCATCATGAAAAAATTAATTATTAGCGATAAGGCTCTAGGTTGTATATACCTGTAATATTTTTTACTCTCCCTTCTGCGACTTTGAGTTCCGAAACTGCTTTGGATATTTCATCTGTGGAGAGGCGAGAATATTTTAAATGAATTCTTATATATCACGTAAGACTACTTAGTGCAAATGAATAATACACATTGAAAGTAGTTTCACTAAAGACGACTGAAAGAAGTTCAGGCAAGCCAATCATTCTCCACTGTCTTCGATGATATCATATCATTTTTCGATTCGTCAAGGAAGACCATGGCTACAACGTTCATTGTAAAACTTTCGTTATTGTCAAACAATTGTAATGTCAAATTCTCTAGTAAATTAACAAGCCTAAATAACATATACGTTATTCATTCTTACGTTGAGTTTCATTTAGCCAACTTTCAAGTACAGTTACATTCGTCGATTCACCTTGAAATGAAGTGAAAAAGTGTAGACGACAATTATTATACAGAGAAGCAGTTTCAGAAAACTGAAGATTATCAGAACAATTTCTCCACTTAAAATGTACCACCAGATCACCGTATGTATGCCATTGCAGTGCAATAACACACTGTCCTAAAAAATATATTTTAGCAACCTTTGAAAATTTTAGCCGAAAAACACTTTCAGAATGAGAGAGCATGCCACTGTACAACTTTTGATATACATAGTCTCTCAGTCAGAATGAGGAGGAGAGATACCTGCATGAGTACTATTACACAGCTGGCAACCACATGTCAAGCAAGATGAATTCGAGGTGAAAGCATACGCGAAAAACCAGAGAGTGTGAGCTGTTAGAGTGACTGGCGAAATATTCAACAGTGCTAGTGAATACGGCTAGGATCAATTCACATATATACCATCTTTTGAAAAAATGCTTACCTGAAATTATGGCTGCAAATGAGATCACAGTGAGAGAGACAGCTACGTGGCTGTATGTGAAGTAGACCATCTTCTTATGCTAACTGACTTTCCGTCCGCTTATTTATACCACAACAACCAGTCAAAACTATCGTTGTATTCTGATCATTGGTTGATTACAATAATCATAATTTCGCCGTTCATTTGTGGAAGAATGTGAGTGTTGTGATTGGTAAGTGAAACAGCATCTCATGACGTGGCGTGACTGACATCATGAATCTGTGGAATCTGATAGGTGTTATGAAATCCGTCAATCTGCAGAAACACTTTAATCCAAACAGTATGAATAATTAATGTGATGACGTCCACATGAAGTTTATGGTATTCGAGCATCATTTGAAAGTACTATTTCATTTCAGTAGTACACAAAATGTCTTCCGTTTGTTCTTGTGACTCAATCATTCCAGGACTTCCCGCATTCACTTTGGTAGTTTCCTCCATTTCAGAAAAGAAAGTGAGGTCTTCAAGGATACAGTATTTGATTGACATTTCTTCAGCTCAGTCTGATTCAACTATGTATGAATTGAGTTGTTTTTACCAAAGACGCTGTAATCTTCCGTGAAGTTGCAGTTCCTTGGTGGAATGCATACGATGCACTTGAGTTGTCTATACTGCCTGGTTCACTGGTGAATTCTTCACTCCATTACTAAGCTACATTTTCAGCGCACACTTCAATTTGACTAAATGAGCTTGAAAGTTCTCCACCAGTTAATCAGTCACGCGACATGGTGACCACGAATGTCATGATCGCTTACTCTTCTCTGTTTTTACACCTACTATGCTACTTGTGATATTGGTAGTGATTGTTTCCTTGACATGAAGTTTCACATTTTGTGCATGAGATTTTCCTTTGATGGATTGGTAAGATCTATATGTGTCAATGTGACTGTAATTTGCAGATTCACCGGAATACCAGGTAGGCTTTTAGAAATTCTCTGACGTACTTGGCGTTCGCTCCACCTAATATTTGAACGTTGGTTGTTCTAGTTGAGTTGATGTCTGTGGTTGACTGTATGCAGTAATATGAACGAGTGAGTGGATGGCGTGCCTTTTACCAGCTAGAGTTTGTTCGTTGATGTTTGACCAGATAGGGCATACACTTTGACAGTCAAGGAACTCAATGCGTTTCTGTGGTAGTTTGACTTATGTAGTGTTTACTTCAGTCGCTCCAACATAATTCGAAGGTGATGTTGGTTTTGTCTATTGCTGTTGCGTCCTTCAGTTGACTTACTGTAGATGAAGAACTCTTCCCAGAAGAAACATCTATCTTAGTGCACATTATGCCACTTTGGTTGTGTATAGTTGTCTTTACGCACACTAGAGCTGCTGTAATCGCTAGAGTTACTTTAAGATTTAATCTCGAGTAGCTATATTCTCGCATATTATACTACACAACCACATTGATCATTTTAAGGCGATGATCAATTTTATTCGTGTGCAACCTTATCCAATGAAATTCCACGTTTTGTCAATAAGCGGGTTTGTGAAGATCAGAAGTATAATCTTTAAGTGACAGCTCCTGACTGGAGTCAACAAATATCGTGTAGATAATGTGCTCCGCAGTCCTCAGCCATAGGTTGACAGAGACTCCACGAACTCAACCAGACAGACTGCAGGATGCCACGGGCTGAAACCAACAGCTACAGGATTCACTAATTGCCGACGATTTTGATTTGACTTCTGCTTAGACTTTATTAACCGGATCAGATTTCAGCTCAGAGTTTAGTATCGAAGAGTTATGCGATACTATATAACGGTATCAGTGACAAGAGTGACATCTCCCAATGCTCAGTTGACAACCACTTTACACTTAACTGGCACACTTTGATGATTGCATTGATTCAATATGAAAATAAATGAGGAACACTCAGACGGACACCTCCTTAATATCCATCACGCATTTTACGTAACCACTGCTTGTACAGCGCCAACAGTCATTCTGGGAAGAAGTGAGTATTGATGAGATAGATAACCCAGTTACAGGCTATAACGGCAAGTACACTTGGAGTGATGATCTGGCAAGGAAATAAGAGAAGATAGAACACACTGAGTGTGAGGTTACTTTGTGTATGTGTTTATTGTAGAGAACCATCGACTTGCATCCACACGTGTAAAAAGATCATATATTCCAGCGACACAAGATGCGCCTTAGTCAAGCATGTGCGATTATAGTAAAAGTCTTCCCTCGTCTTTTCGAAGTGTGATCACAATCTACAATCCTCAGTCTATTTCCATCAGGGATGTGATGTTTATCAATTGCAATTTCATATGATTTTGTTCTCTGAGCAGGATGGTTAATTTAAGAAGTTTAAGAAGCTACTACGCGATATCTTTGACGTATATTTCAATTTGAACTCTTTTCCAAACTAATCTTAAGTCAACTAACATGCCATGTCCCAGCAATTCCAGTAAGAAGCAGAATAACAATTACAAAAATCGAAATATAAATGTACAATTTATTGTTGATATATGTGTGCTGAACGTGGAATATCGATAATGAAGAGCACATCGCCATTGCATACATATCTAGATTCCAATCCATCAACATTACTGCTTGTTCATATTCCGTTGGCCGCCACCATGAGAAACGGTTACACTCATAAAGGAAACTGGAGAATATCCTCTTGTCAGTATGATAGCTCACTTTTCATTCACAACTCACCCATCACATCTCTTCAGAAAGGACTGCAGCGATAGACCCTATCTTTAAACGGCATTATACAGTCACTTGAGGGAGTCACATTTGACTGTCATTTGATGAAAGAAACGAGAGGCATGTCAGACATGCAGCTGTTGATTTTTTCTGCGAACAACGACAACAAAACACGCCACCTGAGAATATTCCAATCAATGATATATTCTTGTCAGTATATGTGTATTACTTTTCGATCTGTTTTCACATCGCCGATAATATAAAAATTGTCGTATTTATACTTACTTTTGATATGCAGTGTAACGAGTAAATGGAATGGAACATATTAGAACATGATGTCAACTACATTCTGTTTTGAATGAATCGATTATTATTAGCACTCTCCATAATGTCATTTGGTAAAGACTTTAGAAATACGTATGAAATGGCGATGTGCTCTTTATTCTCGATATTTCACGTTGAGCACACACATGTCAACAATAGCTAGTACATTTATATTTCGATTTTTGTAAACAAAGAAAACTATTAAAGTGAAGTTTCAAAGTCATGTGATTACAATTGATACGATTATGAACAATCAATTTCGTTCGAAACGTCATCCGGTAAATAAAACTGTTTCACTGTGTGATATATCTAATAAACTAACTAATATGGAATTACTTACTGCCACAGTGGCCAAGTTATACAAATATAATATTATGACTTATGGTCTTCCTGTACGAAGACTTATCAATAAACTCACTTGACTTTCACAAACTGAAGCAAGACATGAAAATCGTCGTATTTTCAACATTCGATGCTTAAAAATGAAATCATTTCTAAATATCTACGTCTACGAGCTCCAGTTCGAACGGACAGAGTTCGAAACAGAATAGAAAGCTTACAAATTTTATGCCTGAAAGGAGAGATCCGCAGAATCGTTAAAAAGTTGCAACATTTCAGATGTGAAATTGAGCAATTAAAATAAAAGCTAAAAGGAATAGTTACCAACGTAGATTATGATCTTATTACACAGTCTTCCAGTAAGGCAAAATCAGCAACTTTCAAAAAGTCCAAAAATAGTCAAGTGAAAACGTTCAACAAATTATTAGAGGAGAAATCTTCATCTCAGAATGATGAAATCAACAATCCAAAGTCAACAGTGCTCGATAAATCAAAGTGGGTTATCAATCTCTCATCACATATATTAAGTCCTACGAAAATAGGTGTATTAGAAAAAGGACTAAATTTCATTGTATCAGTAGACAAGCTGAAACCTGAGGATATCATCCCTAAAATAGAAACAGCACTAAGCGGTATAGACAAAACAACGGCTAAGGAAGTACGGGCACAATGTGCACTTACATTAACACGCAAAAATGTGGAAAGCCTAACCTAACAAAACCAGAGGTAGAAGCCCTGAAACACCTTAAGAACAACAAGGTCATAGTAATCACAAAGTCAGACAAAGGAAACACAACCGTAGTATTAGACACATCGGACTATTTGGACAAAGTAAATACTCACATACAAACAGGACCATATGAAGAAATTAATAAATCAATAGACACAGTTATGAATTAAGTTAAGAAATCCACAGCGGACCTTATACGCCGAATGTAGCCGTTTCTAAGTGGGTCTAAGTAGTTTAATTTAATGCCCAAATCTAATAACCCTAGTAGGATGTATGGTGTTGTCAAAGTTCATAAATCAGGATACCCAATTAGGCCTATAGTTGGTTTTAGAAATTCGCCTACTTATGAACTATCTAAATATTTAGCCATGGTATTAAATCCTCTAAAAAGCCACTGGAAATCTAGACTAAAAAATTCCGATGAATTAAAACACAGATTAGACAATTTAAAATTAGATAACGAAGAAAAAATAGTTAGTTTTGACATTGTCAGTTTATATACACGGATACCAATAAATATGGCTTTAGAGGCAGTCGGAAACGAACTCATTTCTGACCAAGAACTCGAACTTAGGACGTAAGTGCCACTCGAGGACATAATGCTGGGAATACAGCTATGCCTGACTTCCACAGTATTTAAATTCCAAGGGAAAATATACCACCAAACTGAGGAAGTTGCCATGGGATCACCAATATCCCCGGTTGTAGCAGATATATTCATGGATATGTGGGAAAGCATAGCGATTGAAACTTTCACCCCCACCCCAAAAGTATGGTGGAGGTATGTAGATGACACATTTAGTGTTCTCAGAACACATGATATAGATAGATTTCTCAAACACATCAACTCGAAGGTAGAGGCAATTCAATTCACTTACGAATTGGAAAATCAGGAAGGGGAGCTCCCAATGTTAGATTGCAACGTAAAAAGGAAAGGAGATGGGAAGTCAAACACTAGTGTTTACAGAAAACTCACACATTCAAACAGATACTTGGGTTTCGGATCATCCCATCCTATGGCAGTAAAAATAGGATTAGTGAAATGTTTAAATGACAGAGTACAAAAACTATGAAGTACCAAGGAAAATCTAAGACA